CATTAAACAGGTACAACCACTTGGGAAACCTGGCAGCATCTACTAAAGTGGATATTTTCTCCATGATTCAGCCAGGTATACACTAAAAAAAAAAATACATGATATGTGCACCAAAAGACATGTGCAAGCAGAATTACTTGTAATTATCCCAAATCAGAAACAACCCAAAAGTTGATTAAACTGTGATGCCACCATACAAAAGGAATTCTCACAGAAATGAGAACGAAAGGACTATAGGTAGATGCAGCAACCAAGATAGATTTACACGAACATAATGCTGGGAGAAAAACGTCAGACACAAAAGAGAATATACAGAATGATTCCATTTATATAAAGTTCAAAGCCAGGCAAAACTCATCTTGGCGTAAGAAGTTAAGATGGTAGATTCCCTGTGAGGGCACGAGGGAAGCTTCTGGGGCACTGGCTGAAACATTCTGTTTCTCAATCTGCATGACAGTTACATGACAGTTTCATTTTTAATACTACTTTGAACTAGATGCACACAGTTTGTGTACTTTTCTCTATGCATGTCATAGTTCAGAAATAAGCTTTACAAAGTGAATTTAGTGTAAAAATCTGTTTTTCGGTGTGTGCACTACAGAAGAAAATAGAGTGCCATTACATCACGCTCCAAGCTTAGACGTGGGTCGGTGCGTCTGTGAGTGTGGCCTGATGCGTCTGCATCTGGTCTCTGTCCAGCACTATCTCCGCACTGCTGCTGGCTGCCACATTTTCCCATTCTGATCAGTTCTGTCTGGGCTTAGAAAGCCTGCAGGAGCCAAGCAGCTAGTGCTTTCTCTAAGGGGCTGAGCACCTCGGTCCAGCAGCACAGGAAACCTCCACTGAGGCAATTCAGTGCTTTAAGCCATGACCGTGGCTCCAGTCCACCCCATCCTCCCAGTCGACAGGGAAAGAGCGCTGACTCAACACAGCTGACGAAGAGCTTCTCCCTGCCCTGGCCACTGGTGGGTCATGTTACATTTGTGGGAGACTGGGTGACTGCAACCCAAAGGTAATGTAAGCAACACGGGAGGCAGCACGCTGACCCAGGGCTCTCTGCCCTGCCTGCCGGGACCCACCGGCTGCTCGCCATCACCCTGTGTAGCTGCCCCAGGCCCTGTCCACCATGTGTCACGTGGCTGAGGCAGCATCCCAGGGAGAAGCCTACTGGCTCTACCTCTTGTTTACAGCTTGACCTTGGGCAGCGCACCACTCAGGGCATCAGTTTCCCTCTTTGTAAATGGAACTATTCTTATCTGTTTCCCTTCCTGTAGGAAAAATGAAGTCAAATGAACACTGCATTTTGGTATCCCAGCTAACATTGTTGCTGCTCAGGGGGGAGGTGATGGGAGGGAATAAAGAGCCACCCCACCATGTCTCTGCACGGTGTGGAAAACGGGGAAATGTATCCTTCACTGACTGTCATCTTGAGCAACTTCCCAGAGTCGTGCCTCCATCACGCTGATGCCCAGCACACAGGCTGTGAGGGGCATGGAGAGCTGGCACCTGCACTGTCAGCGGCCTACTCCAACACAAATGCTACGGCTGTAGGCTCACTCCCGGGAGGTCACTTCTGGCACCTCTCTCTGGTTGCACTGCCTCCAGTTTCCCCCAAGCCCCTCCTCTCCCTTGATTTCCAGCTCCCCTTCTCCTATGTTCCTTCATCAGGAACAAGAGAGACGTTCTTCATTCTGGCCTGGCAGTGTTGGTGGGAGGTCTGGAGGCTGTCAGGCACATCACTGCTTAGCCTGACGAACTGGCATCGGGTTCAAGGTGCAGACACAGTGTGTCATTTCCAAAGTACTGGGAATGTTGGTGTTGGTCTGAATTTGTCAGGGCTGCTGGGAAGTATCCCCTCTGCTTATTTAGGTGAAGGAAGAGGACAAGAACCTCTCAGGCATAGAGGATGCTCTTCTGAATGGCATGTAGGGCATGGAGAGTCCCTGGCACAAACTGGTGGCCCAACTCCTCAAAGATTTGCCAGCGGTGACCTGGGAAAAGGTTTTGCTTGACTGTGTTGATTCAAGCATGTGAAAGCCCAGCAGGCTCAGTGTCTGAGCCTGTGGAGTTGGCTGGTTCCTGGGAGGGTGTACTGATGCCCAGCAGAGGGACAATGACAGCCTGAAGGCCCTCCTCAAGCAGGTAAAGGCTAAGTGGTAGAGGCAGGGGACAGCTTACCGAAAGGTAAGCCATTCTTCCCTCAGCAGGCTAATGACACCCCTGTGCTGGAAGACCCGCAGAGGTCTCTCCCCTCTCCTCAGGGGTGTCCCCTACTGCCTTTCCAGCTGCCAGGCCCAAATCAGAGTAAAATGCTAGGGTTATCCTGCTGCGGGCCTGATAAGGGAGGAAAGAGATTCTCTGTCAAGAATGAGAAGAATTTGCTAGCAGGATTTCTGAGGGCCTTGATCAAGGGAGCCAGGAAATAAGAAGAGATGAACAGGACTTCACTGAGTTGGGGTATTTTCATGGGATGCATGGATTAGCATCGTGGCAACGACCAGAGGATAAGGCAAATCAGCTCTTGGGGTGGCCCTCCGACACCCGGAGAATGTGACAGCTGAGCTTGCGTGAAGTGGAAGGCATGGATTGCCCCAGCAGACAGCACAGGAAAGAATAAAAAGGCTGACAGAAGGGGCTGGAACGCACACATTACTGAATCCAGAAGAACCAGAAAGGCGGGTCTATATTTTGTGGGAGGGCCCGCAGGACACCCCCTTCACCAGGGTCATCAGAAATGCACCGGGGAAAAGGACGCCAGCATCATTAAGGAGTCTGGCAGCAGCATTCCTCTGCAGGCCGGAGAGGACGGCAGGAGAGGCTAGGCTCGAGAACACCCTTGGGGATGCTGGCGCCTGAGGCACTAGAGGCCAGGGGGTCACGTGGCATGGGCCCCTCTGAGCTACCAGGACAGCTACTTCCAGGATTCTTTGGACTCTGTGTGTCCAGGGCCAGCACATGAGAGGAGTCATCATCACGGGGGAGGGTAATCAGCCCAGATCAGGGGAGGGTGGGAGAGCTGTGTGGAACCCAAGGGAACGTCCTGGTACTCTCTTGCCCCCTGGGAACAGACATGTAGACATATGTGTCAACCCTGACCTGAGAAGGATATGACAGTCAAAGGCTCAGAAATCTCACACTGAAGGTTTGGGTCACACCAGATGAGCTGCCAAGACCTGCGGCAGCGCTGGCTGAGGGTGGGAGGAACTGGAAATGAACAGTGCGCGAGGGATGCATAGAGGTGGGCCAAGTGGCCCTCGCGTGCCATATGGTAAAAGTCGTGGAAGTGGTCCTAGTAACTTCTTTCTGAACTCCTCCTGGAGAAGAGAGCCCATGGGAGCCACAGGGGAATTGCTCCCTACACCAGAGTGGAGAAGTGGCTCTGTGCAGGGCAAGGGGTAGACTGTGACTGTCACAAGAAGGCGCCATTTAGACAGATGGCCCAGTCCCTCTGGAGCCACATGGCATTCGCACAGGCTGTGCCCAGCAGTGACTGAGCGTGGCAGGGTCCCGAGGCAGGCCCGTTCCCACGGGACGTGAGACTCCGTGAACGAGCACTGCCGGCTTAAGGATGCTTCACTGGGCAGGCCGAAGCCTTCCTGGAGTCGTGCTGCAGGCTGAGACTCTGCCTACCAGAGCAGCCTTGTGCACTTTCCTCGCCACTGTGCGCAGCCTCGCGTCCTCTCCTACTTCCTTCCTTCACCCCCACTCTGTCCTCCTGCATTAGTCCTGTCTGGACTCTACCATCCCTGGACTGAAACTGACCCATGCAGTCTCCACGATGCAGATGAAACAACAGGGTCCCTGTGTGACCCATCCTCAGCTTTGCCTCTGGGTCGGTTCTGCCTGTGTGGAGAGTGGCCTGAGACCATGGGTACTGAGCCAGCATGCCCCTGGAGGCAGGGCAGCACACTGTGAGGCTCTCGGACCCAGAAAGGACTATGTGCTCAGGAGCTGGGGAAAGAATCAAGGTAGGTTTGCAGGGTCCCAAAGCCCCGCCTCTGCCCTGGCTGTTGCCCTTGACCTGACCTACAAGATGCTCATGGGCTGCAGAGAGGAGAGGCTGTGAGGGCCAGAAGCGCCCTCTACTCCGCAAGGCCAGTGTTGCTGTTCTTCAGTGTGGGTTTATGAGGGTGGGGAGGCACTTCAGCTGAAGAAAATCAGTCCCACTGGGAGCCTGTCTGATAAGACCTCTAGATATTGGCTATTTGTTGATATGAGTTTCAAGGTACCAAAATGAGTCATCTAGCTAGGCAAGAAAAAACAAAACATCTAATTTCATTAGCTTAGCAAACTAACCTGTCCCAAGAGTAAGGTGGAGGTTGTGGGCTGGCTGTGGGCATGGAGGGAGTCTGCAGACTACAGCAGGGCACGGCTGCACTGCAGGGAGGAGAAGAGCGCACCCTGAAGCTAGAGCCTGGGTCTGCCGGGCCCAGAGCATGAGCCACTCGGCGGGTCCAAGGGCAAACACCATGCCCAACTCTGAGGTACCTTCCAGTTTGCAAAGCCATGTCCCACCCCACCTCACTCCACTGCCCCCCAATTTCATGTTCCTTATGGAGAGGCTGCCTCGCAGAGTGGAGAGTGACCCGCCATGGAGAGTGACTGGCCTACATCACATTTATGAGGATAAGTTGGGAGATCCTTCTATCAGACAAGGTTGTCCACCCACCCAGGGGTCTACAGGGACCGGCAATCCCAGGAGTTCCCAGACAGAGAGTTTCTAAGACAAACCCTGTCAAGAAGAGGCTAGAATTGGAACTCCCTCGAGTTTTAAGTCACAGAGAGGAAGTTGGGTGGTGTGAAGGTACAGCATGCGCTCTGGAATGTGCAGGAGCTGGGGTAAAATCCAGGCTTTGCTCTTGACTCGGGTGTGACCCTGGGCAGGTTAACCTCTCTGATGCTCAGTCTCGTTTTGTTTTTATTTTGTAAGCTGTAAAAATGTAAAAATAATACAACCTCTTTGACTCTCAGTCTTTTCCAACCTGTAAAGCTGTGAAAAGATCTGTCTTGAATGGTTGGGAATTAGAAATAACCTGGGTAGCCCCTAGCGCACTGCTAGTGAGTTGTGGGCATTTAGGAGGTGGTAGCTCCTGTCACTCTTATACTAACTACACGGATCGGAAACTTAGGAGGTTGGGGACAAAGCACAGCCTTGCAATCAAGTCAGCATCCATGACTTTGCCTGGCATATCTAATGTTCTTTGTAATTATCATTATGCCTCACTATCAGGCAAAACAGTGGTAGGCCTTTGAGGTAAATAACAATATTTAAAGACTTAAACCGAACTTTTACAGCTTCTTTCTTCTACATGGTAGTTCTTCAGAATTCATACACTATGCAAGGACAGTTTTCTCTGATGTCATCTGTAATGTAATCCTCATCATAATCCTACGAGGGAAGAGACAAAGGCTGGAAAGAGATTTGGCTCCCCAGCAGCCAGGCTCCCTCTAAAAGGATTAAAATTGTTGCCCCCACCCACTCCCTTCATCAAGCATTGTTTGCCAGGTCCTGGCATGGGCACTAGTGTACTGACCTGAACAGAACAAGGCCTTAACTGTAAAAGGACTCGACGCAGGGGAGGCAGCAGACAAGCAAACCAGTGCCCGAAATGCACTGTGGTCAGCAGGTGTAGCACAGGACCCGGCAGAAGGTACACCCGAATCAGCCTTCAGTGATGCTTTCTGGTGGCTGGAATGGCTTCCCAGAAGTGACACTTATGCTGAGAGTGGCAAGAGGACCAGAGGTTACCAGATGGGTGGGGAGGGAGCTGTGGGAAAGAGCAGTGTTCTAGAAACAGGGAATGACCTGGTCACACAGAGACTCACTGCCCACGGGAGGCTCGAGGTGGGCTGGTGGAGCTGACGGAGGCTTCGCTGGAGCAGGTCAGCGCCCAGGCGCAGAGCTGTCTTGCTGGTGATGGGGGCCCAGTCCCTTCCACTAGCTCTGAGCCTCTGAGGGCCACGTGTTTACTCAGCTCTGTGGCCTCAATGCCTAGTACTGTGCTAGTACCTAGCAGAAACTCTCTGTATGCTTGCTGGATGAGTGAATAACCAGATTCACATTTTAAAAAGTTTATTCAGACTTCTGGTTTTGACAAGATGGTAGACTGAATGGCTGTGGACCTCTTTCTCAACAAAAATACATAGAAAATATACCGAAAGAATAATTCAAATATATAACTAAGCAGGAAAGAATAAAGAGAAAATTCCCAGTTACTTGAAATAAATAGGAAATGAAATCAAAGAAATGATCTTTACCACGGCAATGGGAGCTGAGAGCGTCAGACTTTGACATAGGAGCTGGGATTTTACTGCCCACAGGAGGTAGAAGACCTGGCCAGGGAGCTGGAACTGAGAGCCCCACAGGAAACCAGGAGCATGCGAGGCTACTGGTTTTTGAACAGGCACCAGGAAGACCTTTCCACAGCCCAGAGGAGAAAGGTATGTAGTGCAGAATGGAGACATCTCCTTGGTGGAGTGGAGACCCCATGCCTGCCTCACATGTACGTGTGGAGGCTGGGTGCACACACCCAGATTCTGGGGATCCTAAGCCTAGAGGTTAACGCCAAACTAGCAGGACTTATGGAGCTCCTGGGGCCTGGGCTGAACAGATGCAAAAGCAATGAAGGACACATTCACAGTCCAAGGGTGTATGGGGCTCCCACAGTAAAAACAATCCCTGCTTAAGAGGAGCTCCTGAAAAAGGAGAACAAACCACGTGAGGAAGTGAGCCTCCAGAACGGTGAGTGAACAGACACAACACACGGGAGAACTGGTGCACTCACAACTAGAAATGGCTGAATAACCTGAAAGAGGCCATGATGTAACTAAAGAGATGAACGGAATAGGAATCACAGGAAAAACTAGGACACTAAAATATGAAAAACAGAAAAATAACAGGCTGATTTTAAAAAGCTCCAAAGAGAATTTCTAAAAGTTCAAAATAAAAGCTAAACACTTAAATTGGGAAAGAGTATTAAATAGCAGTTTATAAACAGCTACAAGGGGATTAGTAAACCCACAAATATTTTTGAGGAAATGTTCCAGAAAACTCCACTGGCAGAAAAAGAGATGGAAAAGAGAGAGGAAAGACAGAATAATATAGTAGGTTTCTAATAGGAGTACAGGAAGGAGAAATTGGAGAGAATCAAAGAGATAAGAATTTCTAAATGGGAAGAACTACACTGAGTCTTAAGCCAAGTAATAAACATGAATATACTCTTAGACATAATGCAGTAAAAGTGCAGAACACCAAAGACAAAAATAAGGTCTCAAAAGCAACCAGAAATAACAGACATGCAAAGATCCCTCAGGCTGCAGAGAGGATAGGCTGGCAGGCAAAGAGCTGAAGAAAGGGGGACAGTTTGCAAAGTAGCTCTAAGGCCCTGACAGTGAGAAGGCAGGTAGTGGGGATGGAGTGAAGGGAGTGTTTGGGACGAAGCTCTTTATCTGTGGAGGTGACTACCATCCACATGGTTGCTTGGAAGTCAGAAGCAGTCACTTTCCTTGTCATTGCTCCTACAGCACTTGCTTCTTACTACCCTGAAGCACACGTCATCTCAGAGGGTGCTGTAGTGCATTCTGCTACTTATATGAACCCCTTGAGGCTGTGGACCATGCCTAATTCATCATGTGTGTACTAGTACCTAGCACAACACATTGTATGGAGCAGGGGCTAGGTAAATGTTTACCTGAATCCTCATGAATCACTTACCCTTTCAGGCCTGTTCCTTGCCCCATGAAGAGATCTCTAAACCCCAATTTGAGAAATATGACCCTCACTCAGTCCTTGACTCACTGGATTTCATATTAAAGGCAGGCAAAGTTTTCTGTAATAGAGAAAAAGGAAGAGGTCCTCTGGTCCATGGGTGGTGAATGGCAGTACCTGCTGGGGTGGAGGGCAGGGCCTCACAGCTCTTAGATGCAGATTTGAACCATTTCTGGGAGGCTGACAGGATAATTTGGGATGATGAGCTTTACCAATCTAACCCAAGGCACAATAGGGCAGCTTCTTTCTTCGACTGACCTTGGAGCTTAAGAATGTTTACCTGAGAACAATGCCCTCCAGCCCAAAGGGAGGAAGGGTCCAAGTCCTTCCAGAGATGGCCAAGTCCCAGGGCCTGTCCTCTCTGGAACCCAGAGCCAGATATGAACCCCTTTACATAAAAGAACGAGGTAACATGAAGCCAAGAGTAGTGCTACGAGGATGTTCCTGGGAAGGAAGCTGATAGGCAAATCCAGGGAAAATAAAACTGCGGTGCCTGCTTTCAGGGCCACTCCATCAGCAAGGAAAGACCACGAGGGAGGGCTGTGCAACGGCCTCACAACTTCTTTGCTGAGGGCCTGAATCTGGCAGAGATGAGCACTAAAATGATTACGAATTATACTGCAGGGACTACCCAGGTTAAAGTAGTAGTTTCAATAATTAATTGTACTAAACTAATATTCAGATATCAAGCTAATTTCTCTCACAGGCAGAAGTTCATCTCTTGGCTGCTGTTGCCTTCGTGTGCTGAGACAACACAGGGTCCTTAGGGCCTGAGGCAGAATATCCTCATTTCCTAAATGCCATGATTATACCAAAAATGGAATTCAGGCACTCCAGATGAAATGCTCTAAAAGTGCACAGAGGAAAACAGACAGAGCAGAGGCAGGGGAGAGGAGAGGGTCACAGGCAAGCTCGGGGTGTTCTCGCCAATTCACCGTCCTCAAGTGAGGAAGGGTTTGCCTTTGGACAGAACGCACTGCGAATGGCAGAGAGCTGTCAAAGGCGTGTGCGCCTGCCTCTGCCCTCCTCAGTACTCTGTCAGCTGCAGCGCTGGCTCATGGATGCAGGCCTGATGGCACTGGGAAAACAGAGTGGGAGTCAGGAGATGACTTTCTGTTTGGGAAGGAGAGGCTCTCAACACTCACTGTGGGCATCGTCTATGCTGGGCTGGTGAGGATGACTTTAACATGTCATCCCATTCAGTTCCCATGACAATCACGCCAGGAAGGTATCATTAGTCGTACTGTTCTTAACAGATGAAGAAACCTGAGGCTCAGAGAGGTCAGGAAATTTGTCCACAGACCGAGAATGAATTCCAAGACTGCCTCTAAGACAAGCAAGAGAGAGCCACAGAGAGGGGTTGTGGAGGCATTTGATTGCCACACTTGCCTAGAGCATGGCGCCTGTCCAAATGCTTTCTTTTACAGGTTTTTCAGGGCTCAAGCTTTTCAATACTTACAACCCCTAAATTCTCCCCTTATATCGCTTACCCTGATAATATGCCAGTAGTTGGGGACTAAGCTGAGAAACCGAGCTAGGCTATTTCCTTCTCTCAGCTTCAAAGACAACCTATGTTTTGTTGTCACTGGACCTCTGAACTGACAACCTGAAGAAAGGCTGGTGCCCTTCTCCCACTCAACAAAGAACCCGCCAACCTTTTGTCCAAATAGCAGAAAGTCACACTGGGATTGGAATCTGTAAACACGTCTGGGCCTGAAGATCTGACTGCCATGATCTCTGTGTGTGGGGCTGTCACCCACTGTCACCCAGTAAGCACCAACCCAGGTAGTGCTGGGTTGTATAGCCCCTCCCCTCTTTGGCACAGACACCTCCTTGACTGTGGAGTTTGTGAGGCAAGGAAGGTGGCAGAATGGCATGCCAAGCAGTTTGTGGTTTATGTTTGTCTCACTTCCTAGTGATGCCCCTGCTGTCATGGGACTCATTCCATTGTCCCTGCCAGCCCCTGGACCCTAGAGAAGTCCAGCCTTACTTCTCTGCTGAATTAAGCATTATGAGAAGCTAAGATGGTGTCTCTGACACAGGGCCTAGGAACCCTGGAAGTGTCTTACAGAAACAGGGCCATCCAAGAGGAGGAACGACGGTGTTAAAGGACAACCTTTGGGTCTTTTCCTAAATGATGAATTTGATGGAAATTGAGGAGACACAATGGCTTACTATGGAATCCTCTTCAAGATAAATTACTAAGAGGAATAACTGAAATCTGAAAAGGAGATTTGGTCATGAAGGCATCTGCTAACCCATCTTCCACCCTCAAGAGTTCCTGAGGAAGCATGAGTTTCTCTTCTGGAAAGCAGAGTTCCACTGGCATGTGCCTATTGATTCCTTCCACTGGATAAAATTACCTTGGATACTGAAACAATAAGTCTTGGGGCTCTTCTCGTCATTGGGGTTTCCAAGAGCAGCAACTTGGGACAACTGTCTTTCATGCAATCTCTTCCCAGGGTAGATGTGATAATGTTGACTCTGCCTCAGATGGCTGCAGCAAAGCAAGTGGCCTTGAACAAGTCACTCACATCCCAGACCTCAGCTTCTACAAACCCAACAATAAAAGCAAACTCTTCAGGTTGTTCTGAGGATTAAATGGGATGGATAACAAATATTATGTCTCAGTGTTTGCCTAATACATGGCAGAACTCAGCGGCGGCTGTCATCAGCATCCGTCACCATCGTCATCACCGTCATCACCAGGCCATACTCCTTTGGCCTCACTCACCACCGCTGACACTGCCTCACAAACTCCACAGTCAAGGAATGTGTCTCTGCTGAAGAGGGGAGGGGCTATACAACTAACAAAAGGTGCCACCTTTCTAATAGTAAGGCCAGCAACTTGAATCTCTGTTAAGTACCCAGAAATCCCCCAACTATGACATGCACCAGGTAGATTATCACAACAAAACCTATAAGCCTATGTGTAGTCAGAACAGCAACAAAAGCTGAAGTCCCACAGTCAGCCCAGCAGGCCCGTGACTGGAGACTAAGTGGGGCAGGGAGAGTCCCATGACGGCAGGAGAGCTGGAGCCTCGGAAGGTGGCCTTGCTCTTGAAGACGCTTCCAGTACCTCCTGTACAAGGACTTCAAGTCCTATGTTGAGGTGCAAGAGAGATTTTATAGGAGTATTTTTATGCCAGCTCTTACGTAGTGCATTTGTAAAAAGTGATTCCCCGTCTGACAATCCCTTTGAGTGGCTTACTTGTTGCTGTCACGGTACTCGTAGATGTGACATCCTTGAGGCAATCCAGTCTCATGGTCCAGAGTGAAAGCAAGCTTTAGCTGAATGAAGAGAGAAGAGAAAAACAAGTCAGTTTCAGGCAGCAGGCTCTATTCATTCTGAGAGCTGAAATGAAAAATAAAAGTCAAGCAGAATCACACTCCCTCCAGCTGCCGTGCTATGGAGGACCTGGGCCTGCCCTCTCTGGAAGAGCCCACACCTTCCAGGGACACTCCCCATGGGGAATGTTACCAGGACTCTACTTATTCATTCCGCATGCAACCAATTAGTTATTAAGCACTTATTCTGTGCCACACTCTGAGCTCACTGGTGGGGAAAGAACAGTGAGCTGTAGCCGAAAGGGGCCTCCTGCATGGATCTTAAAGTCTAGTAGCGGAGACCAAAGGTCGTCAGATAATCACATGAATGAATGAATATATATATAAAACATCAAATGAAAATAGGTTCTCTGAAACAGGAAAAGAACTCCCATGTTTCTATAGAAGTAAATACCCTGATGTAGAGTGGGAATGCGGGAAGAAGGAGGGATTATCTAGACCATGGGGAGGAAAAGGAGGACAGAGAAGAGGGCTCGCTCCGGCAGAGCATGGCCTATATATAGAGAGGCCCTGGGGCAGAAGCTCCAGGAACCGAACGAAGGCTGGTAAGCCGGACCACCACAGACACAGGGGACATGGTGGGTGGGATGTTGGACAGGAAGGCCACAGCAGAACCCGCAGGAGCTTGTTGCACATCAGAATTTTTTACTTTTACCTTCATAGAAAAAGAAAGTCTTTGACATGTTTTAAGGATGACATGATCAGAGTTATTTTCAGCAAGATCCTTCTGGCTACGGTGTAGAGCACAGATGGGAGGGGAGAGTGAAGATGCAGGGACCATGCAGGAGGCCACTGAGCAGTGCAGGAGAGCAGTGATGGGGCAGGGACGAGAAGGTGGGTGGGCGGGAGGCAGGAGAGAAGTGGTCAGGCAATATGAGATGGATGCGAGAAGTACACTTTTAGGCGTAGAACTGACAGGATATGCTGATGGATTCAATGTTGGGAAGTGGCCAGGATGGAAAAGAAAAAAATCAAGGACTGTTTAATTTTGATTGGAACAACCAGGGAGGTGACTGTTCCACTGCTGAGTGGAAAGACTGAATTTGGGGAGAGGTAGGGAGTTAAATGTTTGATTTTGGACATGTTAACTTGGAGGCACTCAGTAGTTTTCTCTGATTAGAGAAGATGGGGAAAAGGAGCTCTGGCGACGAAGTCTCGGTTTCCCTCTGGATTCTGGTGGGGGTGCTCGGGTGAGTGCAGCCCTCCGCCTGGGCGTCCCCGCCAGCCGGGCTGTGTGTCCTGCTACAGTCCAGCTGGTTAAGGCAGCTTTAACATTTCCAAACGCAAAGCCAATAACCAGATGTCCAAATTCACCGGGTTTTAAAATCACCAGGAAATTTTAACTAAAATTAACCATACATTAGGAGGATATATTATTATAACTTTTTTTTTTACTGCAAGGTTGTTAACAACAGATCTGCATCATTAGATGCTAGATGATTTTTTTCTTCATTAGAGGGAAACAAGCTTGTATGAGTGGCTTGTCCTCTTATTGACCCAGATGAAAATACAAAAACAGAAACAAGCCCTTCTTTACCATCATGAAGATAGGAACTTCAAGTTGAAGTCATGTTTTCCCTACAGAGCACTGCTTGGATCTTCCCAGACCTTTTTCAGTAAAACAGAAAATAATTATTTTAAAAAATCTGTTAATTATAGCCCTTTTCTCTTCACCTCCCTCTTTACAGCTGAGGTCAGGCTTATATTAATTTAGTCCATTTTGAAGGCTTTAAAAATATTAGAAATATTTGACTCAGTTCACAACTGACACAAACTCAATTCAAGTTGTGAGTTTATGGCTTAGCAAAATTATGATAAATGTAGGAGGAATATAGCTTTTTTTTTGCAGAACTGCTCACCTCATTATTATTTAGTGGAAAGACTCTAAAAGACCAGCAATCACAAAATGGCTAAATGAACTATACTAGAGTCATATGCAAAATAATATGCAGCCATTAAACTGTTGATGAAGAATTCTAAATAACCTGGGAAAATATGTGGGTTAGATGAAAAAAAATAAAGCAGGATACATACTTGATTATATACCAAGAAAACAATGTAAAAAAAGATAAGACTGTATAAAAGAAAGATTGGAAGGAACAGTATCAAATTAGCAAGAGTGATTGTTTTACTTTCTTTGCATTTTACAACTTCTTTATAAGCATGACGAGATACAAGCTGTTGTCCTAAATCACGAAGGAATTATGGGAAATTTAAGTCCAGGGGGCTTCTCAAGGTCAAGAAACTACATATACACCAATTCAACAGTAGGGTGAGTAAGTAGAGATGGTAATGGGGTGGGAGGAATGGAGAACTCGTATTTATTGAATGCTACCAAATAAAAGGCTCTCCTTTATCCTCAGCACAATCATTTGAATTAGGTATTGCTATTTTTTCTCACAGGTGGGGAAGCCGAGGCTGAGAAAGATTAAGTAATTTGTCCAAACCACAATCAGAATTTCAACTCAAATCCACGTTTTTTCCACCTCACCAGAATTAAAGGACACGGTGGTGGTCTGGATAAAAAGTGCAAGAGAGGGAGGAGTGAGGCCTAAGATTCAAGGTCCTTTGCCGCGGCCGGCAGAGCGGATAGCGCTGCTACTCACTGTGACAGGGGAGAGGAGCAGGTCTGGGAGAAGAGATGGAGCTGACTTTGGGAGTGCTGACTTTAAGATGCCTGGGAGGCACCTTAGTGGAGATGGTCAGTAGGCAGTGTATAAACAATTCTGAGTTTTATAAGCAAGACTGTAATTTGGAGGTACAAGTTTGTGAACCTTTGGATGGTAAAAGTAAGATAGCAGTTGAAGCCATTAGAGGAGATAAGGTTGTCCTGCAAGAGTATGTAGAATAGAAATGAGGTCTTCGGTAGAACAGCTGTACTTCAGAGCTAGACAATGGGCTGTGAAGGAGCGACCATGGAGTTACGGGTTATGATACAGGAGCCAAGGGGAGAACATGTCTTAAGGAGGGAGCAGTCAGCATCAGTAAATCCTTCTCAGAGGTCAGGGAAAAGAGGAACAAGCATCCAAAACAAAGAATCCATTGGATTTACCAACAAGGACTCTTAGGAGAATGCTGGAAACAGAGATCAGGGTGTGATGGGTTGAAACGTGAGAAGGTGAGGAAATGGGGTCGTGAGTGTGCGTAACTCTTCTCGCAAATTAGACAGTAGTGCGGCAGAGCCAAGATGAATGGATGGAGTGGGATAGGATACTAGGATGAAGAATCAAAGGAAAGTGCATTACGGGGTGACAGAGACCTGGTTAAAAGCTGATGTGAAGGAGGCACTAGAGGGGGTGGAGTTGAAGACATAGGGGAGACAGATAACTGGACAGTCCGGGTGGCTGAGATGACAGGAGGGATTAGAATCTGACACACAAGTGGAAGACCCTTTCTCCACTGCAGCAGTAAGGAAGGCTGGGCAGGGATGCAGATATATCTGTGGATTTGGCAGGGGGGTGATGGTGGTGGTTTGGAATGTTCCAGTCTGATTTTTGTTCTTTTCTGAGAATTAGGAGGTCAAATTATCCGCAAGGAATGGAGGGTTTGGTGAGGGAAGGAACGGACGTTGGAGGAAAGTGATGAAGGTTTGAAATTGCTTCTTTGGAGAATAGGAAAAACAGTTGACAAGGGAAGAGCATGGGCATTGCCAGGGAGTATTCAGGGTCCATCTGAGGCCACAGGATCTGAAGTTACTGTAGCAACCATCTGCCCCATTGTTGATTTTTTTTTAGCAACCTAGGCATTGGCATGAAGAAAGTTAGGTTGGTCCGGAGATGAGCATTTGCCAGGAAGGTTTGAGGGAAGAAGAATGAAGCAAGGGATTGGAGATATGATATTGGCCACAGATGGACCAGGGACTCTAAGGAGGAACAGGCAGGAAATAAAAATGAAAGGGGCTGGCTGGAATAAAACAGAAGGGTCTGGGTAGCAGATGTCTCGTATGGAGCTAATATTTATTGAGCATGTCTCTATCCTAAGCATCTTTCATATGTGACTTGATTTCATCTTCCCAACAGCGCTTTGAAGCTGCTTCCTATCCTTATGTCATAGAGAAGTTTGAGTATTTAGATGAAATCAGCAAGTAGCGGAACTGAAGTGTGTTCTACTTTGCTAACCGCTGGGCTAGACTGGCTTCCTCAGTGTGCATGAGGTCAGACAGGGAAGTTGGATGAGGGCATCCTCACTACTGGGTGAGGGCATGGGAGGGACTGGAGGCTGTGGTCAGGAAGTAGCCCTGTCTGACCTTGGAGGTGAGAAAATCACAAGATCCAAGGAGAAGTCAAGGGATGGAGAGTCAGAGGTCAGGGTTGGGGTCCTCCCATGAGAGGTTTGAAATTCACCCAGGATGACATGTTTCCCAGACAAAGTGATGCATAAAGTGTGTCCCTACAGGTATGTAGGTGTGAGTGTGTTTGTAGGTGCCTAACATGTGCAAGGTTCAGTGATTGAGTGAATAAGCCAAAGGCCTATGTAGCAGACATGGATGCATGTTTAACCATCATTTCCTCCCTCCTAAGGACACCCTAGTATCACTGAGCTAACTACCCTCTTACCCCAGTCCAGGGAATCTGGTGGAAACAGACTCAATCTCCAGGGCTGGGCCCGACAGTTCTAAGGTAATCTCATATACCTTTCAGTAATTGATTAGGAAGTCAATCCAATCAGTGCATGGCATTTCCTCGCCCTAGGAACTGGTTCAGGAATGGAAATGTGACCCAACTGAAGCCAACGAGATATGAGGGGATGTTTGCTAAGAGCTTCTGGGCATGAGGACTGGAACTGCTGCAACTGGCTTGCTACCAGCCTAAAAATGAAGCCAGCTCACAGAGGAAGCTGATTGAAAAGACCTGCTGAAGTACAGAACCAGAGCCTTGATCAAGCCTGGTATCTGCCAGCCTTCCAGACCTTTACTGTTCTTCTGTTAACTGCGCATCATTTCT